CATCTTCCTGAATACCTAGCCGAGGTTGTGTCCAAATTTGGTGTCGATCCCATTTGAAATGACGTCACAGTGACGTCAGAAGTGAAATTATAGATTTGCGACTCTCATATTCCTCACGATACATCAGATATATGGGACCGAATATAAAGGGTCGATTATTGGTCAGAAACTAGATGGAAGTGTAGTTAGATGTTTTAGGATGACAGCACGTGCTGTCTAGTTCATTTACAGCTTAGTTTCATGCTCAGCGTCATCAGAAACGGTCCATATCGAAAAACGACAAAACTTTATGACGTCACTGTGACGTCATCTTAGGTGCTACAACCACCAAACTTTCCTCAAACATTGCCTAGGTATTCATTTGAAGCTATGCCAAGTTTCATCTTCGTAGCTCATCAGGTTTCGGAGATATTTCACAAAACGTAAAGGGGGGGCAACTTTATGCCCCCCAGCGGCTCGTGGGTTAACCCGCGAGTTGCTGGGGGGCCGTACTTTTTTCGCCGGGCCATAGCATAAAAACGACGCGCCGCAGGCGCGCCAAATTTTGGGTACCTGTAGGGAATTGATGGAAGTTTATTGTGACAAAGTTTAAAAAAAATCGGTCGGAAAAAAATTTGAGATATCGAGGTTTTAGTGACGTCATGATTTCTGAGTTTTCGACCAAAAACGGCATATGTTCAAAAAATCATATAAAATCACAAAATAGACATACAGACATGCCGTAAACGCCATTAGACTGCCAATCCCATGATCAATCAAATGGCTATCTTTGATTATTGATTATCGTTCTGCATTTTCCAAAATGTTGAACTGAATCTTGGCAATTTCTCGTGACTACTTCACGACCATGATACATGCATTTCTTAAATTGAACTTTTTTAGCCAAACACGTACACATATGATAAAATGAATGTCACCATCGTGTTCTACGCCCCAAATTACCCATAAAACATGTGTCACAGGCTGCGAATATCAGTTTTGATTTTCGGGGATATGTGCCTACCCGGTTGACCTGACCTTGACCCTGACCTATGCTTGACTGACCCCTACATGGAGCTGACACTCTTTTAGGCTTTATATGATGGATTGTGCACCGTTTTGACAGAGTTTGTGACGAGAGGCGCCCATTGCGAAGTCCTGAAGTCCATGCTACTGAAAGCCCGATTTCAGGTGTTTGACCTGACCTTGACCCGACCTGTGACCTCAAAATTCAACTTTAAAGTACTCATCTGTAGCGTCTCGTCGCACTCTTTCGTTTGCCGCCTCGTGCGTTTCGCTGCGCCTATTGGTTCTCGAGTTATCGGCTGGGGGCGTTTAACGCCCCCCCCCCCCCAGCAAACGGTGGGTGGCGAAATACCCCAGCAACTGCCGGGTTAAGAAAAGGCGATACAGTGGAAAATCCCCGAGGAGCATTAAAATGAAAGTTGTGAGTAAAAACGCTAATGTGTTTCTGTTTCATGTGATGGTACACATTGCATGGGGAATATATATGTCCTGAGAAATAGCTTCTTCAAAAGTAACATTCATTATGAAAGTCCCCATTCATTATGAAAGTCTACGTCACCACATTACCACACCACAACAAACCCGGCCCAAAGCAATAAGTGTCCCATATGAGCGCGTTAAAATTTCTTGTGAGCGAATTCACGCAATGAAGAAGAATAATGGCACAATCTACTACAGCAGCCAATAGATGATTTAGGACAGACACATGGGACTACATATACCATATCTTGTCCGACAGAAGCAGGCAACAGCTCCGTTTGCATACCTATATGGTATGCATATTGCGGAAGGGGTACATTTCGGCCTCGAAAGATACGAATTCATACTTCATTGTAACAGTATATTTCTTTTGTAGTCAATTTGCGTGGAAATTGAACACCGGGTGATTACCGAGCTATTGTTCTATCAAAACTTTCCGATTCAAACTCGGCTCAGGCTTATCGTGCAGATAAAGGGGGCCCGCTCAGCAAAATGCGTATGAAATATGGAGAGATTCTTAAAAATGGATGGGGGCCCGCACACTAGGGGGCCCGCTTTGGAGGCGATGACCCCCCCCCCCTCCCCAAATGAAATCCTGGCTGCGCCACTGCATAAGGCATTCTCTACCTCCCCCCCCCCAAAAAAAAAAATCGGCCTACACCACTGTTGCGTTGTTTTTGGCATCCAATGTGGAGAACCGTCATGCCTGAACCTGGCGCGACATTTGGCTTCTAGCAGATTTGGTTTCCAAAACAAACCCGTTCATGACCATTCAGTTCACCGCATGCAGTTTTTTGTAATGCTAGAATATTACCGCAGTGTTACTTCCTGTTAACAGTCGTGCTTGGGGCATTAGGTACATGAAACTGACTGAGTACACCGTGGCTCAAAATGTCTCTCACTTTGTTTTCGACGATGAAAAAGATTTATGATGAGGTGCGTCAAAAAAGGCGGCGCCCCTCCCCCTCCGGCGTTTTTTAAATGCCTATCTTAAAGGGACACTCCCACCTTAACATTAGTTTTGAGTTGAGATAGCCAAATTGGTGGCCATGGCCTGCAAATACCGGTTTGGGCACTCACAACATCGACAAATGCTTTAATTCGGAGATATGGAATTTCAAACTTGCAGTTTTCGGATTCTAAGGGGCTAGTGCATTGGTATGCCCCCTTAGAATTTGTGACGTCAGCGGAGATCTAACGATTTTTAAATCTTTTACTAAAACGTTTGGTAGCACGCGGTGGTATATGCTGCTTTGCGCGCAACAAATGCCGCACTTTCAAATAAAGTCGCTAGGAACAGCGGAGATCCCAAAAAGTAAACAAAAGTAAAAGTCTAATATCTTGAAAACAGGTGAATATTTTTCGATGAAATTTGGTAGATATTCGTTTTCGCTCTTTCTGAACCGAGCGACATCACTTTCGTGCCAATTCATTAACTTTTTTGAAGGTGGGAGGGTCCCTTTAAAAGAGAAACGCATAAGTGGTGTTCAAACACCCTGGCTCGGGACAGGTTATTAAGGCCCAGTGGTAACCGAAGGTTTGTTGTCAATAGTTAAAACACTATTCTTTAGAATTGTGTTAAAACACTATTCTTTAGAATTGTGTTTTTCTATTGAAAAACAAATCTGAGTTCCCTGACAATTTGGCAAAAGCTGCCTGAGATCAGTACAACTTGATGCTCGAGAAAACGGCTGTTCCAAAAAATCTGATTTTTTTCAGGATTTCTAGTGGGCCAGGTGATCTACGTTCTGGTATGGGTCTCCCCTCCGCGGACCATCTGGTGCACGTGCCACGTGACTTTGAAAATTCCCGTGTTAAGCCAATGGGCAAAATGAAAAAATGCGTTCCACGGCAGATTGCTTGAAAACGATCCAAACGACCCCCATTTTCTTCCATGCGGATCAACCACCATTCGGTGCACTACCCATGGGTATGTCGCAAAGTGGCCGGAAAAGTCCAGAACCACGTGCCACGTGCCGTTGAAAATGACCCTGCACACCGGAAATTAGGACTTTTGGTCATTTCGGCGCACCCATGATGCATACTATGGCGTGGGTGACCAAACAGTGGGTGTCATCCGGTCGGCAACTGTTTAAGGTGTCGTCCAGTGGGTCAAAGTGGTAGTTTCAAACTTTTGGGATCCACCATTCTGGGGATTCTTTTTGACAATATACTTACGTTTCTTGGCGCAATGTTCATTCCACCCAGCCGGTCGTCAATGCGTTAGGTGACCCAAATGACGATTGACCTGAAAGAAGTTGGGGGCAAGGAACACGCACGTGCCATCCGTTTTTTACTCGGGCGCTTTCATCTAGGATATTTTTGCAGATATCTTTTTGATTTGCGAAAATGACTAACCTAACGGTATGCCAGTCGTTGATAAATTATTATCTTGCTGCGGCCGGGCGGTTATTTGCGGTGTTTGCGTTTGGCGGCTGGCGGGCGACTTTTAGTCGTTTTCGGTTAGCAGTTAGCGTCGGTGCGGTGCGGGCGGTTTTATTTTTCGGCGTTTCGGCCTTTTTTGTGTGGTTTGCGGCGGTCGGGCGATTTTTTTTCGCCGTTTGCGTTGGCGTTTCGGGCGTGCGTTTTGCACGTTTTGCGGTGTTTACGTTTTGCGGCGGGCGGGCGTTTTGTGTTTTTTTGCTGTGTTTGTCTTTTGCGGCGGGCGGGCGGGCGGTTGATGCGGGCGGTTTTCTTTTTTTTGCGTCGTTTGCGGTGTTAATTTTGTTTGCGGTTGGCGGCCGCTTTTTTGTTTTTTTTTTTGCGGTGTTTGCTTTTGGCGGCGGGCGGGCGATTTTTAGGCGTTTCCGTTTGGCGGTTAGCGGGCGTGCCATGCGGGCGGCTTTATTGTTTTGCGGCGTTTTTGCGTTTTTTTTTATTTGCGGTTTGCGGCGGGCGGGCGTTTGTTTATTTTTTCGCGACCTTTGCGTTGGCGTTTCGGGCGTGCGTTTTGCGCGTTTTGCGGTGTTTGGCGTTTTGCGGCGGGCGGGCGTTTTTCACAATTCAAAGTCCAAACCTTCGGGCCACAGCGCTCCTCGAAAAGCGCTGCCCTCGAGTATCGCTGAAAGTTTCAAAGCGATTGTTCAGTCGGTGTGGGTAAAGCGAGCTTTTTTACTTTTGAGGTGAGGTCACTTGATGTGACGTGGATGGTGGCCTAGCCTAATCCTGGGCGACCTGGGTCTGAAATTTTTACAACAGAGCTGCATGAATTCGACGGCGCTGGGCGCTCCGCGAACAAAACGACGACGCTCCTTTGCGCCGTTGTTTTTTAAAGATATCTTCGAAAAACCACATAGTTCAAAAACCCCCTTCCCATTCCGAGGCAGGTTATAAAGGACAAAGGTCCAATGGTATGTTATAGGCAAGCCAGTGATATAAGATGTAGGTAAGAACTGTAAATTGGGAATCCATGGTGCCTCCCTTGTCCCAAATCGTTCCGCCGCCTATGGACAGGTCATCAGTGTCACGCTCCGGTGGCATGTTTTGTTGCTAATGCCGTCGTTCCGTACGGGCAGATTTCGTTCGCCCTGGGTGTGGCCGTCTGCGAACTGCTCAACATTATGCTGAAGCACTGGATCCGTGAGGAGCGTCCCGCCCGGAAGCGGACCAGTTTCGGCCACTACGGCATGCCGTCCGACCACGCGCAGATCTCGTGGTTCATGGCCGGCTACCTTACACTCTTTCTTCTCGTGCGGTAAGTGGCCACCAGTAGTAACTAGTACCTACAGGGTGTCTCATAATTAACTGGACTCTACATTTGTATTCGGTATGTATAGTAAACACCATGCTTTTTTCCATTTTATTTACCAATGTGGCCGCCCTTGTTGGCGATACAGTCACGCATCCGCTGCGGGATTCCCCTCCACCAGGTTATCCAGCACACTCGGATGAGTGCTACGCCACGCCTTCTTCAGTTGCTTTACCAGCTCATCGGCGGTGGTGGCAGACGTCATCTTGTTAAGACCTTCTCTTACAGGATCGCCCGGAGGATTTCAATTGGGTTGAGGTCCGAGCTGTTCCCTGGCCACACTCCTTTCCCCCCAGAAGCCGGGGAGGTTCTCCCGGCACCACTGCTGCGTCTTATGGGCGGTCCGCCGTGTGCGGTGGAGCTCCGTCCTGCGTGAAGATGGCCTGGCTGGAGTATGTAATCAGCGGCCGCTGAAGGACCCCGCTATTCTGGTCAGTCTGGCTGATCGCATCCAAACACTCGTTGGCGAGGATGTCCATGTGGTAGTACTCGCCGCTGCTGACTGTCTCCTGATTAGCCACGTGCAGCGGGGACATTGCGCGGTGGGATATCACGCCCCCAGCCGTGCACTTTGGTGGAATGTTTCACTGCCGAAACTGGCGGCACTTGGGAACTGCTGACGGCCCAAACGCGGCCTTCGTGATGGGTGGGTTGGTGGTGCAGTTCGAATGGCTACTCATCAGACCACATCACCCTCCTCCAGTCCTCCACTGACCCGTCTTTGTGGTCCTTGGCGAATCTCAGGCGATGTTCTCCCTGCTTCTTCGTCTACTTCGGCCTCCTAGTGAGCTTTAAAGGTTTCATCCCCAGGGATTGGTGGAGATGACACTGCATGGTTGAACGGGAGATGTAGCCATGTCGGGTAAGACGCTGGAATCCAGCGTCTTACCCGACATGGCTGGAACAACTTGCGGGCTGACTAGTGCTGTTTTCCAGTGGCCATGGCAATCACTGTCTTGGCTAGCGGGTGGATGGTGTATTTGATGCCCCGGCCTGGCTTGTTGCCAGGCCGGCTTCTCCCGCTTCCTTGTCACAGCTTGTCTGGCTTCAGCCAGACGATCAGCTGGGAGCGGCCGATGCTCAGCTGGGAGCGGCCGATGCTCAGCTACTGGTAGACCCTCTTTGGGCTCATTCCGCCATGAACCATACCGGCAGCCTTGCTGCGAAAGGATAAGCTACACATACTCAGTCCGCATTTTGCCTCGGTGCGGATCGGCGCAGGTATCTGCTGAGGTGAGCAGGTCACCTCTGTTTGTCTCAACTGTACTTCAATCTCAGTTTGCAGTGCCAGCTCTTCTTCTTTGCGCCGATCCTTGGTGCGGATCGGCGCAGGTAGGTATCTGCTGAGGTGAGCAGGTCACATCTGTTTGTCTCTGCTGTATTTCAATCTCAGTTTGCAGTGCCAGCTCTTCTTCTTTCCATTGCAACTCTTGGCGTTGACGCTCAAGCTCTTGCCTTGCCTTCGGCATGGACAGTCTTGCTGCCACTTCAGCTTTCTTACGCTGGTCTTCGATCTGCATCAGCTGAAGGCCAGACTGCATGCTGACGCCAGAACCAGCCTATGATGCACTTGCAGTCTTCTGCGGCTGTGTGCTCTTCAGGTAGCCTTCAGCCACCACTTGGTCTCTTGGTCGATTTCTCACTTGGTCGATTTCTTCCAAAACCATCTTATGGTTATCTGAGTGTTGCTCCACTTCAGCCCGAGGGAGCAAGTGACACAACTCATATTCTGTCTGTGAGAAGGAGATGTAGTTGTGGATCCACTTCTTTGCTTTCTCTTCTGAGATGTCTGGGTTCACCTCCACTTCAGTACCACTCTGTCGGACCGCCTGCCGACTGAGCTGCTTGAGTTAACGTAGCTGATGGTTGTAGGCCTTCGTCTTCAATTGAATTTGGTACTCGCGTCCCGCCTCTAATGGACGGATGGCTCTCCCAGAACTGGACTGCAGAGGGTCCAACATCTCATCCTCCTTCCGCGACTCAGCCATGTTAGTTCAGGTAAGGTAGGTTAGTATCAGTAGGTTAGTGGTTCAGAGGAATTCACAATGTTAACCTGCGCCCCGCTGGGCTATTCAGTCATACGCGCCCTGCTGGGGGGGGGGGCAGATTCTTCCCCCTCCCCTGTCTAACTTCCGAACCGATGGTCGTAGAAAGACGGGGAAAACGGCAATCGAAAGCTCTCAACAAGGCGGATCTTAAGAGCCCTTTTTTTGCTTAAGTAGGTCAGAGGTCTTTTTTTTAATATTTTTGCTGCCCGACCCGGGCTTTTGTCGTTAGTAGCACACATTCATACTGGGTTAGTGCACTATATACACGGCAGTGGTACGAATCGTTTTCGGCACACGCTACGCGGGACAGCCTTGACCGCACGCTTCCTGTCACGCACCCCAGGTGACACCGCACTTATGCGCACGCTGGGGCTATCCCGATTTCTCGGGCCCGGCAGGTCAGAGGGCTGCTCCGGGACATGAAGCGAGACCGTGCCCTCGGGACATGTCACCGGACCGAAGGATCTGTTTAAAGGCGGATCAGGCCCGTGTACCTGCGGCCGGGGGCGCTGGCTGGCACAGCGGTAATCCCCACGACCGAGCGAACACTCCCCAGTTACTGCCATCTCCTGGGTAGGAGCCGGCCGAGGAAAACGCTGCCAGAGGTCAGCTTTGAACCAAGGACCTCCCACACCAAACATGAACGCACTTGCCAACTGCGCCACAAGGGTGGTTAGGTCAGAGGTCAGGTCAAGGGTACAAAGTGCAAGTTTCTACAGTATCGGTCTTGCACCGTAGTTGCCGAAGAATGGACGGAGACTGATTGCCCAAAACGTGTTCTTAGGCTATCAAGACAATATTCGTTGCATAAAATATCATTCAAAGGTCAAGGTCAAGGTCAGGTAAGGTCAGGTCACCGAAAACAAAATATAGAAAAAGGCATGTGAGACACATGTTTTATGGGTCATCTTATTCATAGAATTCAATAGGCACACTCAATAAGTGATATGGACCACATCTGGATTAATTTCAGGTCGAGGTCAGGTCAAGGTCAGGTCGAGTGAGGCCAAATTTTAAAGTTGGTTGTTAAGGCCTTAAAAGGTGTATCTGATGCAGTTTTTTCACGGTGAATCGAATGGTGCTATTTTTGTTTCCGTACGAGGTCTAGAACTTCCAAAAAATTATTTTTCAAGAAGTTTTCGGTCGTGACGTCATACAATTTTGAATAACCCCACATTTTTTAAACTGATTTTTCTAAAAATTGGTATGTAGGTGCACATAGACCACTTCTCTGACATATATTCGGGTTTTTTTCGATACACACAAAATTTTGGATTTTATAATTATTTTTCCTAAAAAGTCATTTTTTTAATATGGGCCAAAAGCCAAAATTTTCAAAAAACCGAGATAGCCATTTGATAGACAAAGTAAAATCACGTATAACCTTTTTTGTTACGTCTTGATTCCTTTAAAAATGGAGATGTTAGCGGCGTTTGAAATTTTGCCGTTTTTGAGGCGAAAATGGCGAGCATGACGTCACTAAAACGTCATTTTCTCAAAGTTTCCGACAGATTTCGCTCAAATTTTCAGGTAACGTGTCAAATTCACGTATGATAAGGTACTGACAGTTTGACGTTGCTGGCGTAACGCGTTTAGAAGTTATTGGCGAAAAACGGGAGGGGGCAGATTCTGCCTTCCCCCAGCGGGGCGCGGGTTAACCCGCGCACCGAGGCAGGGGGTGGTTATCCGCCCTCCCTGAGGTTTTTCGTGAATCGCGGAAAAACTGCGGCGCGTAGTGCCGCGAAATTTGGTGTGACTATTCAGTATTCTCTCATCAATTTTACGCATGGTGTGCAAGTTTGAACCTTCTAACTTTTAAGGTCAGGTCACCAGGTCACTTTGAATGACCCAACCTCAAGTTACTTTTTTGCAACTTTGTCACCGTGTCAGAGCTACAGTAGATGACGGAGGCCTTTGAGAGTCGCAGAATATTATTAACCCGCGCCCCGCTGGGCTATTCAGCCATACGCGCCCTGCTGGGGGGGGGGCAGATTCTGCCCCCCCCCCCTGTCTAACTTCCGAACCGATGGTCGTAGAAAGACGGGGAAAACGGCAATCGAAAGCTCTCAACAAGGCGGATCTTAAGAGCCCATTTTTTTTGCTTAAGTAGGTCAGAGGTCAGGTCAAGGTCAGGTCAAGGGTACAAAATGCAAGTTTCTACAGTATCGGCCTTGCACCGTAGTTGCCGAAGAATGGACTGAGACTGATTGCCCAAAACGTGTTCTTAGACTTCCAAGACAATATTCGTTGCATAAAATGTCATTCAAAGGTCAAGGTCAAGGTCAGGTCAGGTCAGGTCAGGTCACCAAAAACAAAATATAGAAATAGGCATGTGCGACACATGTTTTATGGGTCATTTTACTCATAGAATTCAATAGGCACACTCAATAAGTGATGTGGACCACCTCTGGATGAATTTCAGGTCAAGGTCAGGTCAAGGTCAGGTCAAGTGAGGTCAAATTTTGAAGTTGGTTGTTAAGGCCTAAAAAGGTGTCTATCTGATGTAGTTTTTCACGGCGAATCGAATGGTGCTATTTTTGTTTCCGTACGAGGTCTAGAACTTCCAAAAAATTGATTTTTCAAAATTTTTGTGTGTCGTGACGTCATAAAATTTTGAATAACTCCCACATTTTTGAACCGATTCTTCTAAAAATTGGTATGTAGGTGCACATAGACCATTTCTCTAACATATATTCCGGTTTTTTCGATAAACTCAAAATTTTGGATTTTATAATTATTTTCCCAAAAAAAGTTAGTTTTTTGAAAAAATTTGGGCCAAAATCAAAAAATTAAAAAAAAACCGAGATAGCCATTTGATAGACAAAGTAGAATGACGTATAACCTTTTTTGTTACGTCTTGATTCCTTTAAAAATGAAGATGATAGCGGCGTTTGAAAT